CCCCCCCCCCTCCCCCCGTATTTGTGTTACGTGCTCATGTTATTAGCATCGACCGCGCAACCCGGCTGACCAATAATACACCCGGAAGTGTATGAGTGTGTGAGAGGGAGAGAGAGCGGGAAGGTACAGATATTTTCCTGCTACAGCAGTTCGTGTGCCCCCCTTTGGCTTGCGTACATATTCAAGCGCCTGTGGAGGGGGTGTATCGTCACCCGTCCATGGTGATGTGTGATGACGGCTGCCTTCTTTTTTCATGACCATGTATGTCCACTTTCAACGTGATAGGCAAGGCTACCCATGCAAGCTCTGCCCGCGCAAATCTCGGCGTGTCCGCGCGTGCGTTCGTGTGTGCCTATTCCTTCTCACCAACGTAGACCACACTCGGGACAACTCGTTCTCTTCAATTCCTTCACTCCGCCAAACCCCCGGCGCTCGCGCCCGCATCGGATTCCTCCTTTTAGAATCGGTAGTGGTAATGGACTCTGCGTTCCTCCCCTGAATGGCAAGCGGAAGAAACCGTAGGTTGCGATAGATATCACACCTCGTGGACCGATTTTCGAAGCTCGATTTATCGGTAAGAAAACCAGTGACGGTGCCGAAAATGTTGGCGTTGGAACCGTCCCGGCGAGATTTTTCCGATAACAAATGCTTTGATTTCGGCATGCTTTTCGCGATGGAGTACAGTAGCAGAGCTTCGAAAACCGGTCCAGGGGGTATGATGTCTTATGCAACCTACTGTAGGGTGCTTCTGTTGTATTGCATACCACGTCTTACGTATTTTGCGACAATTGCGGTTGTGGCCACTATAAAGACATGAGGCTTTCAACCAGAAGAAGTAAAAAACTCCATCACATCCCTTCAATAATTGGGTATTACCTCGAACACGTGGTCTTTGTCTTTGACCTTTTGTTCGTTTTCTAGAAGAGAACGGGATCCCATTTTCTAGTCCGTGAACCCCCCCACCCCACCCCCGACAGTGCGCCACACTATTCAACGAGTGCTAATCTTGCTCCGTTAACGCCGCTTTCCCTGCATGTTGCTCAGCTCAAGGGGATGCTGGAATGCGGGCGTTCCCTGCGGATGGAAGGCACCTTCCAAGGCGATCTCATCTCCACCGGCCGCGTGGTGGTGGCGCCTACGGGAAAGATCAAGGGAGATCTCAAGGGCCTCAAGTTCCTTCTCGTCGAGGGACAGGTACGTCATGCCAAGGGCAAGCGGTGAGGAAGGGGACACGGGGCGTCAAGATTTAGTGGTTGATTTGCCAAGGGGGCATGGATTCAGTTTACTTGGGGCTAGAAGTAGTTTATGAAGCAGGATATTTAATTTCCATCCCGAAGTGCGTACTTAAGCCGACTACACGACTGGTGTATCTCGGCATCACGTGTGATTCTCGTGAATGCCGCTTTGTGGTCCCGATGGACAAGCTCGACAAGCTCGAGGTGATTCTTCGCCACGCGGAAACGTCCGGCTCCATTACGTTCCAGAGACTTGAGAAGTTGTAGGGAAGTGCACCAGTATGTCTGTAGCGGTACCGGTGGCGGCCGTGTATACTCACATGTACCGGCAGATCGCGGTTTTTCAGCACACCGGGTGTACTCATAGTCGTGCATGACGTAGTCGTTAGACCATCGACCTTCCATCCCTACAAAGCCGGGACGGAGCACGCCGGGTTCTCACCGGACCAGGCTCTCACATCACCAAGCGCGAAGC